GTGGCATTGCAGGTAATGCTACCACCTGCAGTGCTGGCATCCCATATGGGTGCCAGTTCGAGTCCCAGCTGCTCCACTTCCGATCCAGCTCCCTGCTAATGTGCCTCGGACATTCTTGTCATCTGCAATGAACAACATCACCTATAAATCTTCCACCACATTTGACTCTGCCTTAGATTTTTCAGAGAGAAGAACTAACTTCCATTATTTACAAGTAATATCCATCCAGATCAACTTGGATTAAGCCATCATCACCAGCAAGGTTAGTGTCCACCTTCTAAACTCCTAAAATAAACTCAAATTTCTTTACTTTCCTCTGAAGTGGTGGTGTCCTACAAGGAGATTAATCTCAGTAGCTGGCCTATTTCCTGGGAAATTTTTCCCTTAGATAAATGGCCTTTTGCATATAAAACTTAGTTAGGGAGGAAGACTTCAGGATTTATTTTGATGATACATCCTAATGTCTCTCAACAGTAGGCATACAACCTAAGAATGCCTTGCAGCTAACTTAAGCTTACGTCCTCTGGTTCAGTGCATGCTGGAGAAAAGAACAGACTAATGGACTACATGGAGATTTAGAAACCCATTCAGAGCCAGATCTGGGAGTTTCTTGAACTCCCATCAACTATTCATCACTGATACTCTATTTTTAAAACCCCTTTGCTTTCTCTGTGTTAAAGTATAAAATACTAAATTTTTAAACCAGTCCAATATTCCGTAAGTAAAGATCTACTCAAAGAAAACTAAATTCAATGCCCTACAAAGGGTTAAGTTACCCCAAATCCTTCCAAGATGTAATAATTTAGCCATTAGTTTTGGCAACATACAACTTCCTTGTGTTCGGTGGTTCTGGGGTGACTGAGTCTCCCAATTAGAGAATAAAGCTCCTCATGGAGCGGGATCGTGTAAACTTCTGTTTTGATATTTCTACCCCCAAATCAAAGTGGGTGGGGAAAATCGATCACGTGCTTAGCAAAAGCTGAAACTTATGGATGTAATAACGAAATACTCACATTATAAGCAAACAGTTCTGTGCAAGACAAATATAACCCCAGGCAAGTCAGAAAGACATGTAGGAGTTTGTGTAAAGAGATAACCTGATCCTTTCTTCAACATATTTGAACCCCTGTGAGATTTGGGAAGAGTGTTCAAATCCGCCATATCAGAAAGTGTGGCCTCTTGCCAAGACAGTGGCCAGCTCAGCATTGTCTAAGTCAGCATGGACTTACATAAACATGATCCAACAAACAAGGTAAATACCAGTTAGAAAGCTTTCTTTTGACAGAATGGGAAGACATCACAAGAGCTGAGGTTTTATATATAAGCAGGCAAGAGAAAGAAAAAGCTGTCTGGTGTTAGAGCTGCACATTCTTATTTTAAAAGTATATAATTGCACCTTCAAGAGTGAATAAGATTAGTCGCATTCAATGGATTCTCAGGGGAAAAAATCCTATTATTTCATCTCTGCTAAGGAGCAACATCTTCTCATAATTACAGGAAAGCTGTACATTAAGCTGCCCAGTCAGGAAGTACCATTTCCTAGTAAGATGCAAACTTAACTCACTCTCTCCAAGTCAGATATAGAGACTAAGTTCTCACCTCCCACTGTCCTCTTTCCTCTATAGTTCTTCAGATTACCTCAAGAAGAGGCACTAAAGGACAATCCATTAACTCAGAAATGCTCCTCAGGGCTCACTACCATCTCAAGGTCCCCTCCCATCTAGAATCGTACTCTACTGCTCTGTCTGATAAGAAGCAAAGGCAGGGGGCCAGCGCTGTGGCACGGTGGGTTAAGCCTCCGCCTGCAGCACCGGCATCCTATATGGGCACCAGTTTGCGTCCCAGCTGCTCCTCTTCTGATGCAGCTCCCTGTTAATGGCCTGGGAAAGCAGTGAAAGATGATCCAAGTCCTTGGGCCCCTGTACCTGCATGGGGGATCCCCCCAAAAAAATTCCTGGTTCCTGGCTTCAGATTGGCCCAGCTCTGGTAGTTGAGGCCATTTAGGGAGTGAACCAGCAGATAGAAGACCTTTTTCTCTGTCTCTAACTCTATCTCTCAAATAAATAAATAAATCTTTTTTTTTAAAAATCAATTAAAAAAGAGGCAAAGGAAAAAGAAAATAAAATTGTAACATATATAGGCACCTAGCATGATAGAAAAGCAATCTCAACTATTCTTAGAACAAGCTTGACCACTGACTGTGGCCACCGAACACAATGATGGTACAACAGATGGCCCTTGTCTAGGCTGACCTACAAGAACTTATGTCTCTCCCTCCCACCACAAATACATCTCACTCTCCTTCATATGCCTTCACAGGGCCTATCAATTACAGACTGACAGACTCCAAAACTAAACTACCCTAAGACTACTATGATCTTCCTTTATAGTTAGTTCCCTACAACACTGTATTTCCCTGTGTTATTCCTAATTTAAAGAACCATGAACCCAGAATGAGAGCCTAGGAAATCTTCTAGCCTGAACGCCTCATTTTTCAGATAGGCAGTACAAGACAGTGACTTGTTTGGGGTTTCACAGAAACACACGTGATTCCAGAAACATTGCAAATAAAAGGTATTATGACCTTATCTCAATAATCAACTTCTGCTTCTCTTCTTACTAGAAATATAACACTTGATTGGATAGTATATTTTGGCGTTAACACTGAAGATAAGAAAATGTTACTGGTTTTTAAAAACCTTACACAGGCCACAAATATGATTATTTCTCTGTTGCTTGTTGCTTTTCAAGTGTCTTCCCTAAAACAAGGACAGCTTTCATTTCAGTAACATTAGTACCAGAGGGCTGATCATTAAGACCCAAAACCACTCAATTTCAAGACACAAATCCTGGTCCTCTGTTATGATCATAAACATCTTCACCAGGAGACTATGAAACTCGAAACAGTTTCACACAGGAGAAAGGAGAACTCTGAGGACAGACAACACAGAAATTCAGATCAGGTCGCTGAGAGGTTCAGGAACAAGGATCCACATCCATGTTCGTTCACAAACAAGCTGGTTTCTTTCCTGAAAGGGTAAGAAGCTTTCCTCCCAATTCACCAGGAGGCACAGGCCAGGGGGAGAGGGGTGGTGACAATCCCTCCCTACTGGGAATAATTAATTTTCTCACATATCTCACAAAGAGAGGCTTGAATCAGAATTGACAAACACCACAGGAACACCACCTTTTATAGAACCTAACCTTACCGTCCTCTCTCCATCACTTCTGTTAAAACAGACAAACAAAAAACACAAAACAAAAACAAAAAGTCCTCCAAATTCGGTTACTTTCAAACTTCCCAGCTCTTTCTCTGTGCTCTGAACTACTTGGTAGTTTATCCTGTTTCTTCTTGTTCCTTCATAGGTCATTTCTAGGACCAAAAGTCACATCATGAAGTAGTTTCCAGAAACAGCTGGAGCTCCCTCTTCTTCTGACCTGGAGTTTTCTTCCTTTTTCGTCCAATCCTTACCATATCACACAAAGGAGGGAGAACATACCCAAAAAAAAAAAAAAAAAAAAAAAAAAAAAAAAGCAAGCAAGCAAGAGCTGATTCTAACCCCTGAGTCTGTCCTTCACAGATAAGTGGCCTCAGGCAGTTGTCTCTTTGAGCCCAGTCTATAAAGTCACCATATTATCTACCAGGCAGAGTTTGGTACCAATTACAGGCTATACTATACAAAGTCTTTCACTGAATGACTGCAGATAATTATTATATTCGATATATGACCACAGATAATTACTACATTAATGTTAATAATTACTATTATAATTCCAGCCTGGTATCTCAGGACACACCCATCCATCCCTTCAGGGTCAGATTTGAGGGCATTGTCGGGGGGGGGGGGGGGTGTCTTTTGAGTTCATGCTGAAGATGTCCGCTCCAGTTGCTTTCTGAACACTGACCAAACTGCCCACTCCATCTTATTGAGGCTTTGGAGACTACCAATCTATTAAATAAAAATCATCACCAACTAGGGTGGCCCTTTCTTAAGTAAGAAATCAAAAACTACAATTTCACTGGGCCCTAGGGGGCGGTCAGGAATTTGTGTTTGGTAAGGTTCATGATTTGAGTCTAATGGTTGGTCAGGTTTTGGAATCTCTGTATGATCCCAGAACTTCCCCCTCTACAGAGAAACACCTGCAAACTAGAAATTACCTATGCAGCCTCTAATTAGCAGCACCTGCTCTGTGAACCACACTTCTTTCCTGTGCTTCCTTCAAGTAGTAGTCAATCCCACCCAGTTGCCTTACCAAAAACAAAACAAAACACATCCAGGACACAGGGAGCTCCACAGGAAATAAAGCCTCTGGATTTGTGCGGAAAAACTGCTATAAACAGCTTCATTTCTTATTATTAATCCATCTCATGTGGGGATTTCCACAGGCAGAAAGGCTCCCCAAATGCCAAGAGCCGTATTTTTGTGTAGATCATTGAAACCTAATTATTAGCAGGCCAGTAAGCCCCACAACCAGACTTTCACACAATCAGCAGATCACAGAGATAAGTCCTGAATTATGGGCTGCGGAGAACAAGTAAGGCGCTGAGAGGCAAATTCACTTCTTTGCCACAGCTTCCCACATGCCACAGTATTTGAGCTCTCCTGGAAAATATCAATCTTATGAAGGCATTGCTCACACACAGCCAGCCATTTTTAGCACCTCCGAACCATGAGACACACAACAACGTATGCAATTCTAATTATGAAGATCTCCCCACTCCAAGCTAGTCCATCTTGACCATTACCAAGACTTCAGCATGCCCTACACCTCAGTAGCATCAACACCAATCTTTGTTGCAGACAGCACAGGGTACCAGGATGAAACGTCACATCCACATTTTAAAAATCTGGATAGCAGAGATCAGGCTTAGACTCTTTAAAAGCTAGCACAGAGCTCTGCAGAGGCAGCCCCTCCGGCATCCCTCACAATATATAGATGCAGAGGACACCTAAGAAAAGGATTCTGCAGGTACAAAAGGAACACCTCCGAGCCCTCACCTGTCTGAGGCCCTTCGGCATTTTCTTTCTCTTCCCGAGGTGCTGGCAGAGGTTGCGGTCATTTTCTCGATCTGAGCTGTAGTGGTGCGGGTGGCTGAGTCTGCTCTTCTTTGAATGAAAGGACAAGCCATTGGTAAGTGCTTCTCGTTTCTTCTTGGTCAGGGGAGTCTGGCGTTTCTCCACACGTTCCTGAGGCTTAAGTGCTACATCTTTCTGTAGAAAAGAAGGAAAAGGAAGGGAAGCAGTGGTTACATAGGTTTCTAGGGTTGCCCTCAAAATATAGGCTATTTAAATAGTGTTCCTAAAAGTAGGAAGGGGGACAGAAGAGGGATATGAGCACACCCGAAACCACAAAACTTGGCTCTCAATTCTTCTGAATCCCGAGTTCCACCACAAATACATCCATTCTATTTTTTTTTTTTTTTTTTGACAGGCAGAGTGGACAGTGAGAGAGAGAGACAGAGAGAAAGGTCTTCCTTTGCCGTTGGTTCACCCTCCAATGGCTGCCACGGCCGGCGCACCGCGCTGATCCGAAGGCAGGAGCCAGGTGCTTCTCCTGGTCTCCCATGGGGTGCAGGGCCCAAGCACTTGGGCCATCCTCCACTGAACTCCCGAAGAGGGGCAACTGGGACAGAATCCGGCGCCCCGACCGGGACTAGAACCCGCTGTGCCGGCGCCGCTAGGTGGAGGATTAGCCTATTGAGCCGCGGCGCCGACCTATTCTATTCTTAATTGTGCAGAATACTCAGCAAGGGATCTGTCCACTAAAAGTGGCTCCACTGCCGCCTAGGATACTGCTAGCTCTCACTCTGATTCAGTCCTGGCCCCAGCAAAAGATGACATTCCCCAAGGACACTCCATACACTCACTCCCTAAATCGGTACATCAGTTACTACATGTTTCAGGAAAAAAGAGTGCTAAGTGCATGCTTGATTTGAAGGAAACTGCATAAGACTGAACACACCAGGGTGAGGTGGATGTGAGCCAGCAAGCAACTGTCCATTCATGTGATTAAAATGTTTTCTTAATGCATTATGCTTTTACCACATGTTCCTCTGAGATGTTATCTTGTTGGGAAAATGAAACAACAATATTATCACCAACATCAACAGAAGCTTTTCATTTATTCTGCCATGTGGCTGGGGGCGAGGGGAGGGTGGGCAGGAGAAGGGTAATCGATGTCCTGGAGTGGGGAACTGCGTCTGCAGAAATATGGCCTGGTGGAGTTCTGTGCCTGCAGGCAGCCCAGGACACACTGACACAGCAGGAGGTCTGGGTCCGGTCCAGATAATGGCATTATTCATCAGCACTCTGGGACTAAGCCAGTGCAATAAATAGGCTCCCAGAACAGAAAATGACCTGGTACATGCAGTGGTCCGTAGAACCCTAAGAAATGCTGTACACACTAAACACTAAAATAAAAATGTTCTGGTACTTAGTTCTTTGTCAATCAGTGCAAATGATCCTCTTTAGACAGAAAATGTTCCTTAATGGAGCCTCGCCCCTCACCGTTTCTCAGTTTCTATAGTCCTAAGTACACATTTAAGAATAAACACTTCCTTTCACCAACTTCTCCTTTTCAAAATGCCACTCTTTCTTCCCTCCCCTTCATACTCGATATTCTCAAGGTAGTATCCATCCTTTGGCTTCTCACTATCTCATCATTCCCCACTTGCCACTCAGAGTGCTAGACCACTTCCCCAAATCAGTCATGCTCCTCATTGTTGGGCCTTACTATGGACTGTTTGTGTCTCCCCCAAAATTTACTGAGGGCAGTGGTATTAGGAAGTGGGGGCTTTAGAAGGTGATTAGATCCTGAAAGTAGAGCCCTCAGGAATGTGAATGGTGCCCATATGAAAGAGACTAAGGGAGCTTACTGGCCCCTTCCACTGTGTGAGGTCACAGCTAGAAGGCACTGACCATAAGGAACAAGGCCTCACCAACCTCCAGAATTGGGAGAAACAAAGGTTTCTTAATAATCAGCTGCTCACTGTATGGTATTTGTTGGAGTAGCCTGGACGGACTAAGGCCTGTACATTGTGTTTTGGGGTCAAATACAAACTTAGCACCAGCTTACACAGGAAGTGGGAAAACCGTGCTGTGGGGAAAAATCCCCACCCACATGGAATCTGGAATGTGGGCGACAGAAACCAACCGAGTCACACAAATATAAAGTTGCAAGCTGAAATACTGGTCTGAAGGGTGCTAAAATGGGGGAAGGATCCAGGGCAGAGCAGAGAAGTGGGGCTGAGGAGATGACTGTCATTTGACCCAGATCCCAAAGGCACAGCAGAGAGAACAGCTTGTGCAAAGGCCTTGAGGCAGCCGGTAGCATAATCCCTGGAAAGAATGTGAAGGAGGGCAGGGACTAAGTAGTTCATCCCAGTAACCCCAGTATTTCACATAAGCCAGGCAAACAGTATGTGGCCAAAATATGCTGGCTAGACACATAAATAAGTAACTGATTAAAACATGCAAAACTGTAAAGCACAGTAGTGACTATAAAATACTCTAACCTATCTATAACATACAGCAAAGCAAGCTAAACAAAGATAACAGAAGCTGGAAATCAAGGAACCTGTCAGGCAGTGCTGGCATAGGAGGAGGGAAACAGCAAATCACAAAAAGCCCCAGAAAAGGGGGGAAGGCCTTATCCTTGAAGCAAGAAGTCATCAAAGAATAGTTTCACAGGCAAATAGGTGGCTTCTGATCTAACTTCTAGCTGTCATCACTAGACACAATTTACCCTCTGCCATCCAAGAGGTAGTTCTGAGACAAGGAGCAAACAGCAAGAAGTGTTTAATGGGTAAGCTAAAATGAAAGCAATTGCATATGGGCACTGATTCTGCAGTCCCAGACCTGTCCATGAGGCTACCACATGGCAAATGTTCAAAAAAATGTCTGTTGAAGTGAATGCTTTTGTTGGGTATCCACTACCTCAGTCAGCTATGTCAGTCATCCACTTAGTTCAAGACATTTTCTGTGTTTAGTTTCCCATTTAGGCAAAATTGTCAGCTATCATGAAAAGACACTCAGGAATTATGGCAACGAGAGCAGGAAGAGCAGGTGAGATCCATTGTGGGCTGCTTCTACACAGGTATGATTAAATCATACCACTTCTAAGGGTTATAGAAAAACTTCCCACAGGGTAAAACACACTTTTCTTTGTCACGCAACCCACCCACTGCCCTGCATCATATGCATGTAGAATATCGGATTAATAAACAAATGATATTCAATAATGTATCAACGGTGCTTTAAAAAAAATTATACCATTCTCTTTGGAGACCAAATCTTCTTTCATGCTGAAGGTGCCTCCAAAGTATATTGAAAATTATGTGCTATTCCATACAAATGTGAATTAATATTTATGAGTGTTATAATTTTTTCCAAATCCATTTTATTTTCATGTAGCATATTAATCAAGGCATTCTCACTGCACTACAGAATAGCTACACAGAGCAAATGGACCCCATGCCGTGACATTAGCTTGTAAGAGACCTGCTGAAGGCGTAGCAGCAGCGGCACAATCATCTCAGCTACAATTAATATTGAGATCTTCCACTCTGGAGGGCAGGGGGTACGGCGAGAAAAAGAGCATCAAAGTGTATGCAGAGGTGACTTAAGAGGTAAGAGGAAATGAAGAGTATTTAAAAAGCTTTTATTGTTCCAGACATTTGTATTTTCAAAGACCATAAATTGCTCTTAATTTTTAGAAGATAAACCTTTATGTATAAACTACTGATCCTTTACTACAAATTTTCAAAGAAAAAAAAAACAGGTTAGTGTTGGTTCATTCCTTCAGTAAACATTTATTGACTATTTGCTATGTATAAAATAAAATAATCTTTTAACTCCCCACTTTCTCTCTCTTGGGGCAGGAGAAGGAATGACAAAAACTGCCCCATATTTACAGTAAGAATCAAAGACAAACGGATCTGATTAGAAACAAATCAGATTCTCAACATTCGCAACAGTTGTATAATGATTCCTTATGTAATACACATACCTCTATCTATCTATCTACATGCATCTATCTGTCGATCGATATATCTATCTATCTAACACTTACGAAAAACTCACTTCCAGCAAACAGTGACAACTGAATTAAGAATTCCTTAAAGAAATCCGGACATTCTCTATAGAATTGCTACAACACGGGACAAAAAAATTATCTAGTTTATAAAATTAACTTTTCAGCATCAATGAATGAAAATTTTCAAAGGCCTACTGATCTAAGCTAGTATTTCTCAAAGGAAACTGTTCATCAGAATTGCCCGCAAGTCTTTTTAAATATAAGATGGCTATATCCATATTCTGTAAGGGAAGTATTTAGCAAAATGAATGAAGAATGGTAGAACATACCACCTCAAAATGTGCCACTTTAGTTTAAGGATTATTTTCATAAAGGCATGTGGAAAACTGCAGATATAAGAAGGACACTGTGTACTCCCTATACCAGGGAAAAAGAAACATTATCACCAGAGACATCCAGATATGGCTGAAAATTCCTAAGTGAAAAGAAGCCCTCATAGTAGCAGAAGAGAACACAGTTTCTTACTACCAGAAATGGAGAGCCATGGGGGAAAAAAAACTAAAAACAAAAACTGGACAAGCAGATTATATTATATGTCCTACCTTCCTTTACCACCTCCTACATATTTCTTTTTTTTTTAATATTTATTTATTTGAAAGTCAGAGTCAGAGAGAGAGGAGAGGCAGAGAGAGAAAGAGGTCTTCCATCCACTGGTTCACTCCCCATTTGGCTGCAGCAGCTGGAGCTGTGCTGATCCAAAGCTGGGAGTCAGGAGCTTCTTCCAGGTCTCCCATACAAGTGCAGGGGCCCAAGGACTTGGGCCACCTTCTACTGCATTCCCAGGTCATAGCACAGAGCTGGATCATAAGTGAAGCAACTGGGTCTCGAACCAGCGCCCATATGGGATGCCGGAGCTTTCAGGCCAGGGCATTAACCTGCTGCATCACAGAACCAGCCCCAACCTCCTATAAATTTCTTACTTTTCCACAACTGCCACGCTACTCAACCTACTAAATAAGGACTTAGAGTTTCAAATTTCTTTACAGCTTCATTTCCTATAGGAACTCCCATCTACAAGCAACAATCCATATGCTTTTCTTCTATTAATCTATCTTCTGCCAATTTAATTCTCAGACCCAGTCAAAGGATCCTAAAAGTGCAGAAATAAAAACCTGCC